CTCCTTGCACTTACCTATTTATATCTTGTGCACCTAAAAATCCTACTTTTTACCTCAGACCCCAAAACCCCACTGGAGACGTTTGTGAATAGGTTCAGTGGCTTTCAAAATGGGCACATGCAATAGTGGTATTACGGGGGTGTTGCATTGTGGCATACTCTGAAGATGGAGCCAGCATGTTTCTCCGAAGCGTTGGTGTCTACCTACTAGTTCACAGTCCGTTACAACCCAAAATATCAACATTAATCTAGACAGACATCACCATTATACGTTCACTTTACGAACTAAGTATGAAGAAATCACAGGGAATGGAAGTTTCAATTTCACACTCTTTTCGGCACATTGAATCCCATTTGAGAAAGCAACCTTCCCCCCACCAAAGCTCGATGTATTTGAGTTTATACAACGCCCCTACAAGTCCACTCTTGTACCTGGTGATTGTGCGGTAAATCATCAAAATTGTCTGCACATTTCTTGAACATCTTCTTGGAATATCTTGAGAGCAATATCTGTTGAAATCTTAGGATCACTGGAGTCATTTGGCGGGTTATTCTTACAAAGGTTAAACAATAGTTTCAAATAATTCCTATTTCTGTTCTACAATGCCACTTTATCCGCTAATTAGTACTCTCTTCCTATGTATATTGTTCCCAGAGCCTCTTGTAGATCGCTCAGATTCCTATTGTCCGTAAGCCAAACTGCTCGCGAGTATACCAACGCCGTCATCTTCCATAATGAAATTAATCCGGCCGACATCATTATGGTCAGAAGCAAATGTCGATAAAACGTCGAGGGCATTAGAGCCTTGCTTATGAAGCGTTTCTTAATGACCAACGCATTTACTCGTGTGGTAGAATGTCGATTCCTCCTTAAGGCAATGAGCGAGTGACCGCAACACGCGTGGGAAGTTCTCGGGGGCGCATTAGAGTTCAGATTGTTACGATAAGAGTCGTTAGCAGAAAAATCTGCAGGCCTATCGTATGTTAATGCGTACAGTCACAAAATCAGATTACAGCAAGTTGGCTAATGGACTGGCGTAGTCCTACGGATGAATCTCAGTGCAGTATTACATTTTGTAGATGTTGAACTGCCTTAAAATTGCACAATTTTTTTAGGTTTTATTAGGGTCTCACACGAAGGATTACATTTTAGTCAATTTGTTAATAGACGCAACATAATCCGAGCTACTGTCTGACAGCGTCGACAGATAATCCGTAACTCAAAGCTATAAAATTAATCGGCAAAGCATCCGAAGGATATAAACTCGTACATTGGTAAGAGCAACTAGGCAAGTGATGGACCCTGAAAAAGAATCTCAACATCTGCGCAATCATCGTAAAAGTACCCCTTGTAACAAACACGATCAGCACACGCCGTCTCTGACTGTCTGTAGGGGCCCAGTACCGTTTTCTTATCCCCGTCACCCAGAGAGACGCAGACTCTGCGTCTGCACGAAGCTAACGTTCCAAACTCTGAAGCCCAACGGCTCGTGAGTTCATTCGAATTAGCTGTTTCATTTATTGCGTACAACTGTGCTTCCTGGCACATATTACCGCGCCGGAGATGCGACTGTTTCGACACGAGCAAAATGGCTTTCTTTTATTGCGGTAAGTTATATGGGACATCTCTCGCTTCCCCGGGGGAAATGTTCTAATAAAGGCAACAAATAATTTCTAAACACGATACAAAGAAAAAAAGGAACGCAAAGGAAACCATTCTGAGTGCCTGTGAGGCTTGTCCGCGGCCCCAATTTGTGTTTAGTCCCATCTTTATTTAAAATAGTTAGCATCTGTGATGTTAAACAGATGCTAACTTTGTTCTATGAAACAGTGAGTTTTAAGTTCTACGGTCACTTAATTTTGACAAGCTAGAACTTGCACTGAATCGATGACACTGTACAGGGATGTGAGGACTAAGATATTAAATTAAGACATACCGAAAATGCATGTTCCGTATAATAAAAGCCCTGTACTATGAAGCCGAGGGTGGATTAATATTGCAAAAGTGAAGTAATAACTTTCTCGCGTCGCCAAGTATTTGTATTCGGTCAAAGTGACACTGAAAGGGACGGACAGAGATTCGTTCTTCTCCCTAAGACGTTCCCACCCCAAAAAGGTCGCCTGACACCCAAAATCTCCCCATCTGTCTCTGTCATCCCCCTCAATTTCATCCCATTGTCTTCCCTTCTTCCTTCCTGTGTGACATTTCTCGTAACCTGTTGTTCCCATCTTGATTTCAGTCTCCCTCGGGTACAGAACCTCCTCGTTTATTCTTGAAATGTATATATACAGGCTTATTCCCTTGTTTATTAATTTCTTTACAAGATGCCTCGTCTTTAAGCTCCAATTCATTTATTAATTTCTTTACAAGATGCCTCGACTTTAAGCTCCAGTACTTTTCTCTCCCCTTTGATGTTCTCCTTTTACAGTCCTCCAAATGACCTTTCGGCTGCCCTGAGATGTCTTTAACAACGCTGTATTAAATTTATCTCCTTGTTCATAAGCAGCAATGATTCAACCTTATCTCCGGTTCTTAGGAATCTTTAATTCTTTCTTTCATTTCGCTGGTTAGCCAGTTTTCTTAATTCCTATCTGTGTTTCATATTTTACTCTCGCCAATTTCACTTCTTGCAATAAACGAAATTCTTTCCGCACTCCTGCTCCATCTTCTCGTGCGTCTTAGCCATTAATAACTTCTGTAAATAGCTTTCCCATCCATTTAATACAACTTTCTCTTCTACTCAAGCTCTCTTTGATCATCTGTGATTCCACACCCTTCTTCTCTCTTACTTCTAATCTACGTTTCTCTGCAGATTAGCGCGCCTGCCTTACAACTTCTAAATCATTCGAAAAATGTTTCCTTGGCTCCTTTAAAGGTAAATCTGGTTATGTAACCTACTACATTTTTCTTATTCCACAGCATCACATCTCTGATCGTTCTCTTCGCCCTATCTTTGAGCCAGTTTCTCCTTTCCCTTCTTGGACGCTGCCCCAACGCCTCCTACGTCCAATTGTGTGTGCTTAAAACAGCTTCAATTCTTCTCCCAGCGATCAGATTTGTTCTTTGGTATTTTTAATTTCGTCCTATTCTGGAATTCTTCTCTAATTTATCTCTCTCGTAGTTTAAGCACCTTCCTTTCAAATGTCTAAACTACTTTGATACTTTTAAAATCTGTGACCATTAATAAAACTGACATTAAACATAAACCTAACATCCCTTTTAAGAATGTTTAAATTCCGTAGTCTTTGTTACCATTATCAATTAAAACAGTCCATTTCTGTCCAAACAACGTCTGTTTATCTTACGACTACATTCGTTTCCAAATCCCCCAACCTCAATTACGAATCAATTTCTGATACGTACTGAAGTCAGGCAGAAATTATCCTTCGCTGTTTCTCAAGACCCTCACCAAAGCGCTCCGTCGACTCTCCATGTCCTGTTCTCTTCTGCTAACATCACACGTTTACGACTTGTAACCACGTACGTCGATTTCAGTCAAAATCCTATCACACCCGGCTGATGGAGTGAACATTTCGTTAAAATATATCGATCTTCACACAGTTAGAACTGAATATTGTATTACTCTACAATTCATGAAATGCACATATAATATTCTATTAAGTAAGTGTGCCGAAATCATTATTGCTAAGCCACTTCACCATTCCATTAATTCCGAATCCTTCACTTATTTCTCAATTTCTTTTCACTTAAACCGAGTGCCAGCCCGTCAATGGTTATTATTCCATACATCCACTTAATTCCTTCGATCTGAGCAAGTACACGATGCAAAAGTTAAGACCAAAATGAGGTCAAACTTTCAAAAGTTGATGCAGTTTTGGAAAACTTACATGAAAATGTGGGTATCGGTAGGGTTGGGTAAAATATAAGAAATAAACCTACGAATCTAGGCCAGAGTCGGTCTAGGACATTGCGAGCCAAAGGCGGACAAACCATGGTCCAAAAACGAATGGTGAGAAACAGCGTATACATTTGTGTGGCTACAAACGCAAGCCAAATTAGTGGACGTTAGGCCAGCAACACTTTCAGGACCAAGAAAAGGAGATATCTTACACTCAGAACGAATGAGCTTGACACAGATACTGCAAAATACAAATTCCTGGGGGCCTGCACAGAGGCACAGACGATTTTAAGCAGGGTTGGCCAACCTGGACGTAACTTAGTAAAGATGAGAATCTGCTTGGAGATTTCCTCAGTACTGTGAGTAGATGGAATAATTACTTTGTCAGCCATCGAATGCACGTGGGATTAACGATATTAAGCAGACCGGAATACACACAGCTGAGCCGATAACTCTTTCGTGGTTGAGATAACTATCGAAAGGCTGAATCGATATAAATCGCATTCGCCAAATTAACGATATATCACTGGTATCAACTACATACACAAGTTGTATCCAGCATTCTCCTGTCAAGGTTAACACCACACGCGAACTAAATTATTGGGGATCATCAGCGTGGATTTCTACGTAATCGATCAACTACTGACCAGATATTCTGCACTCGTCAGATACCAATGAAAAATTTCGAGGTCAAATGCACTGCTCATCAACTATTTACACAGCTCAAGTAAACTTGCGATTCAGATAGGACGACCGCATTATGAAACATAATCGTGGAATTCGGTGTACCAGTGGAATTAGTTATGGTCATTAAAGCTTGTTTAAATGAAAAATATAGTAAGTTCTGTACAGGCAAATGTTTGTCTCGTGCATTTCCTATTCAGAATGGTCTGACAAATGCAGATGCTTTGCCGCCATTGGTTTCCAAATTTATTTTAGAATATGCCATCACGAGGGTCCAAGGGAACAACCAGTGGTAGGTCTTTAATGGGGCACACATCAGCTCCTTGTTTATGCCGATGACGTTAATGTACAGAACGAGCCAAAAGTCGAGGCCCACAGGTTTTACAATCGAATCATCTTTTTTAAGCAAATGCTCAAATTTCTTCAGCTTACTGACATGACAGCTGCTTGTACTCACCGATGCACGCGGACATAGATTTCAGCACACTCAGACTGGCCTTCCGTCGTCAGTTGCAAAGCCGCATTCCACCTGCAACAATTTTTACTTATATTATAATGTGTTACATTCCTTTGGGGCTCAACTTTTGGCCCAACCTGTACTGGGAGAAAAATAATCGTGGCGAACAGAAAAAGAGACCCTCTGTTGTACGCTAGTACCTGAGAAAGTTGGTCCAAAGAGGATCCGCTGTTTGGAGTAACCTACGGTTTAGCTGGGGTGCGGGTAAATTCTAAAAATTTCGGCATTGTCCCATAATTTGACGTAATCTACCTTCAGTCTCAGGTTCACCCACGCCTATCCCGAAAACTGAAATTAGTCAACGCTCATTTCTGGCATCGAGATTCCGTACCAGCCTTCTTGTATTTAAAGCCATAGACCTACCCACTCAAAATTAAAAATGGCCAACATTCCACATTCTATAAACCGACATAACGAAAC